TAATGGAAAGCGTTAGAGGAAATAACTGTAAGTTCAGATGAAAAAATAAGTTCATACACTCGAATAATTTCTTGAAATACTTTTATAAGTGAAATTAAAATAAGATAATGAAAGAACAATTAGGCGGTCACGATCTCGTGAAAAACTAGACTCGCATTTTTGGTTTTTAAAAGTTGTTCAAGCATCCGGGGCTACCCCGCGCATCTGGGTGGTAGCCTCGCGCGCCCTGATTGGTTGGAATTTTGCTACCCTTTTAGGGTAGCAAAAATCGAGATTTTAAAGAAAAACATAAGAAATTCTTGGCAAGTTGGAACACTTACAAACATGTACACCAAGTAAGTAACATACACCAAACGGACCTCCCTTGAATATATGGAAACTAAATTTTGATCCGCATTTGCCATCATCGAAACTTGCATCAAATCACTCTTCACCCTTCCATAATACGAATCCCCCGGAGACAACTACAAAAGCTTTCACTCTCTTACTTTCCTTTTCCACGCGCGCAGCTCAGAGCCATGGGGGATTTAGTCGTTTCTCACGGCCGAGCCCCGGGTGAGTTGGAGGCACAGGTCTCGTGACTAGTCATGGTCGGCGCGTGACAGGTCGTTATTAGCCTTCGCACCTGTTGGCTGCACAGACCAGTAAATAGGCCCAACATTTCAAAATCATCATTGTATACCCTCAGTTTTCTTCTTTAATAAAGAGTTTTGTGGTCCTATTACTTGAGGGTTTGTAGCAAGTAAGGGTCCAAGGTGTGATTTGGACTAGTGGACTTCAATTGTTGAGAAATCTCAAAATGAGGATGAAATTGGACCAGAGGTTTTGCAATGGAATGAATGGATAATTTTCAAGATGGCGATGGATATCAGGATTGCTTTTTGGAGGGACAAATAACCCAGAAGTCATCGGTCACTACCGCACAAAAACAAATTGAATATGAAAAACAGAGGACACTTAATTTAGATACCAACCCTTTGAGGGCAGTCTATATGTGTTGCGCACGCAGATACTCTGAGCATGCGCAGTTGTGTAGCCTCGTTCTAAGAAAATTCTGTGAAACTGTGTATGCGCATGTGCATGACACTGGAATTCATTTTTTTGCTACAACACAATATCGTATAGGCCTACACACGTCTACGAAACCAATTTTGTCAAGTCGTTACATGTATTGTACTACGGAGGAACAGCATAAAAGCAGTGCCCTGCCATATTCGCATCAATTATGTTTTGTAATTTTGTTTTGTCAACACGAATTAAGCTAATTCCTACGAGCGCACGTGCTGATAAATAGGTTTTGGAAACAATGCAATCATTTAAGGACAGATGGATAAAATGTATAACTCCAAATAATCCATCTCAATAGTTCGCGTGCCACAGATTCATAATTCATAGAATTAATGTTGTATAATAATTGTATCCAGGGCAAGTTCATTCTGAATAGAATACACCGTGGATTGCGTATGTAAATAAGGAGTTATTCAACAACCAAAATCAACACCAAAGGAAGCGAAAACTAGTTGCATATTAGCTCAGGGGAAACTAAAAAAATATAATGACTCATCTTCAAAAAATTCTGAAAATTATCGTTAAAGGGAATGTACAACATTTGCGTTTGCTGTTGATGGATTTGGGGGTTGGTATTTTACAGCAAATGTTGATACACTGACCAGTTTAAAGTTATGTGTTCAAAAATGCTGGGAAAATCAAGGAAAAATGTGTTGTTCTTGTAGTCTGGTTCCCTGATTCTACTTCAGAGGAAACAGGGTAGTTTATAGATTGTCAGGTCAGGGAATCAAACTAGAAGGCTTGCACCTGTTTATGCATGTGTAACCGACTGCAACCAAATGTGGACTAAATAAATTTGGTAAAGTTGGGGCAGCATTAACAAAAAAGTCAGTTTTATTTTCCAACGATGGCCGGCCGATAATCGTTGGAAATTGAAACAAAAATATATACTTTTCTTGAAAATGACAGCACACCAGATGCCATGATTTGCTTGAGACTATTATTCACTAACAATCGCGTAAGGTATTTAATAACAATTTGGTACTTTTGTCTTTTGATGTTTGCAAATGTTGTATACTGCCTTTAAAGAAAGTCCAACTGCATGTTCTGTCGAATATTTTCACAAGTATTCATGGTATGTGCAAATATCTGTACGTGTCGATTTAGTTTGGACACATTCTTGTGAAAGTTTCAGTATTGCAACACGTGTCATTTTAACAAGACTAGGAAAGCCCAGTAAAGCTGGTCCCAGAGTGCACACAATTCTATTCAATCGAATCAGAATGGCTATTCGCTGGAAGCCTCTGTTCATGTATCTGGTCTACACAATGCACCGAATTGAGCATATTTATGGCGTTACGTGGTAATCCTATACGATAGCACTGCCCGAATCCTTTATGGCAGCGAGTCAGTGAGTCAGTCAGTGACCAGGAACGATTTGATAAGAATACTGATGATCGGACGCGCCAGTTTCTGGTGTGCAGTCTTGCACTATGATGAAATGTTTTTCCTGAAAGTATAAGTGAGAGTTCGTCGGCTCATTTTCAATTAATCTGAAACACTCCAATGTATTTATGTGAATATGTTGCACACAACACCGATAATGCTTCTCAGCAATGAAAAATGAACCTGGGGGGGGGGGTGTTGGGGGGGGTGTTGGGGGGGGGGGGGCTGGGTGGGGGTGGGGAATGATTAATCTGTACTACAGTTGGAGTTCACTCAATGTTACGCAGCACTTGTTCTCAAGGTTGCATGTGGATGCTGGGGGCGTTGCAGTGTCATAAATGAGTGGCAGGGTGTAACCCTTTTGATTGTACAATAAAATAAACAACGGGTGCATGGCGAATTCTGCGAAAATTGCTCAGTTAAAAAATACCATATGGCGTGCTGGATAAATGAACAAATCGTTTGAGCGACGGGTGTTGGCAATGTAATGGCAGTTGGCTCATAATTTCGTAGTTGAATGCATGGAAATACTACTAAATACTAATATTACTAGAAAGAATGTTGCATCCTGACACTTTTTTTCATCATATATCATCTCAATGAAGGTCAGTCATTGCAGAAACTGTTGAAAAGACATGAATCTGGGACTGAGAAACATTTCCAATAAGGGAATACTTTGAAAATGTTCTGGACTCTCCATAGACTTTGTACACAACCGCTGAAGTGGCGTCGGGATACTACATTCTTTTCATGACGTTAAATAATTTTCCTAGCGGCCGATGTTCCAGACATTATAGGTTTTTTTTGGCTACATCTTTGTGGTCACGTATAGTAATCTAAATTGACATTACAACAGAATTCCGTCCCATCATGCTTAGGTTACAATGGCATGATGGGATGGATTTGAAATTGAGGTTACCACGTGACCAGAACGATCGTGGTATCAATGAAACGGTCTATGCAATCGCCATAAATTTGGAACGAAAATTGGAACGGCAAAAGTACGTAGTTGCAAAGCTACGTGAGAAGCTGAGAATCCATTCCAGTGGCGAAAGTTTAGCCACTTTAGCCCATCTTTTGAACCAATTACAGTGCAAAGGACGCTATTGGTCACTGGCGCCTACAATTGGTCAGTAAAGCCGGCACGTGACTTCTGGTCCATATTAAGAGTTCCCCTGAAATTGGTCAGTAAAACCTTCACATCAATAAGAACCCATGCTATTGGTCAGACTGAAGAAAGTCACTTGACTTCTGGTCCATACGACCCTCTGCTATTGGTCAGTAAAGCTGTCACGTGACTTGTTTCTACAAGGATGGTTGTTTTCTTCAAGAATTAAGCAATCCTGTTTCAGAAATTTTGGAAATTTAAATTTTTACAAAACCTACACAAGTTTTCCACTAGTGCTCGATTGAAAGTATAAAGGTCCAACAATTCTACCTCCATGGTCCAACTAGGCATGTACATGTACTAAACATGTACATTTGTACACGTGCACGTTAAGTTTGTACTGCGGATTCAAAACACATGGTCCTTGGGAATGGAAAGTTTGTCGACCCGCGAGGGTGGGTGTTATCCTCTGTATTTGCCGATACGGGTGAATTGAAGTAATTGAAAGTTCAAGTCATACGAGCTTTTTGATCAAGGTCCCTGAAGCTTCGCTATTATTCTGTTGTATACAGAGGCTCAAGTTTTTGGCCTTGAGATTTCCCGGGATTTACGCAGTAAAAAAAAAGGAAAAACTTGATAGGCAACTCCACCGGAACATGACAAAAGGGGCTGAATGGAAAACACCTGAAGTATGGGTGGGTGGTTGTGCATCGATGTCAATTATTTGTTTGTGTCGATATGAAAGTTTCCATTTTGGCCAGTGATTGGTGGTACGATGGGCACACTGGACCAGCGATGATTGAAGACAAACAAGTTTTTGTTGTTTTAGGGGCGTGAGCCAATGTTGATTTTTTTTGGGGGGGGGGGGTTTGGGGGGGGGGTTGAGGGGCCGTGGGTGGGGTTGGGGAGGAGGGAGGGATCATGGATGATACAATACGCCCATGTCCCGTCCCTGAGGCGGCAAAGGTCTATACAACCCGGGGGCGGGGGGGGGGGTGTTCTTCTGGTACGCATCCATCTTCAGTGGCCTCTCCGATAAACTTGGACGTCCCGAAAGTGGACGGGTCTACAATCCCGGTCAAAATGGCTGGGACACTTCCCGAGCCTGCCACGGTCACCCACTCCCCCGCTCCCCCGGTCAATGTTGTTCTCTCCAGCTGATGGAGCACACACCGCGCAATGAGAGACAACATTGAACGTGGGCCGGGGGGTTCGGGGCCCAGCGAGATTTTGGCCAGGATTGTAGGTTACAAAAGTTCTTGGAAAGGGTGCGCATTCAACATTTCCCCTCTGCCCAACAAAACACTCAAATAACTTTTAAAGATAAAGCCAGTTTTATCTGACCAATTATCTCAACAAAAACAATTTAATGCACGTCGGGCACTCGAACTCAGACAAACATTGTACATTTTGTGGATTTTCGAAACCGACAACTTACCAGTCATATCGACGTCACATGTTCGGCAGGTATAGCGCCCTCTCTTGACGTCATTAAGTCACATCCTCTCGAGGATGCACGTGTTCAATCTGCACTATAAGAGAGAAAACATACTAGTTGAACTATTCGAAGTGTGACATTTCATCAAAGCGATATACCGCGTCTATCAATACCCATCTTTTCCTGTTATTGAGGTGGGTTGCCGTTCCGGCCCTAGTGTGTGGTATCGGAAACAGTCTGTCCATGGAGCTATAAAACACATGGTCTGTCTAACTAGAGAAACAGCATGGTATTTGGATACGGGCTTCCACGCCTCTTAATCATCTTCCTGTGATTAAGTGTTTATGCGTAGGGATACTGTTATCTTTTTTCTTTTTTGAGGGCCACATTATTTGTGTAATGGTCAGATGCACGGTTAGGGTTGCAAAATAGGAAGTTATGCAATGAGCGTGAGAAATGTACCAATTTGAAGGGATTATGTTGCACTTTTTGGTATTATAGATTTTAGCCTAATGTAAATGCCAATATGATAACGTTCCCTCGTTGTAAAGTCATGAGGAAAGCTTCGAACTCAAATAACTTTTTAAGTTTTCCATATTTTCGGTTGTGTCCCTGAAGATGAACCGAACACAACGTTCGAAACGTCGATTTAACCGGTTCTTCTTTGAAGTAAACTGCACTATACTGCAAGATACTTTACTCAATAAATATAATCGTCCTTACAAGGACCAGAATATATAAAACTGGTTTTGGATGAAGAAGATGTACTTAGGTTTGTGACCAGTAGTAAAATGTGGTTTTATTTTAATTTCTTTTGGTGACATTTTGGCCTCGTACGGGCACACTGACCAGTAGTTCAGGATGCAATTGGTTTGTTTTTTTAAGGAAGGTCACTTTCGATATATAGAAAGGCCGGTACATTGAAGTAGCTTCATTTTATACAACAGTAACTAAAACAGTAGGCTACAGAAACAACTGCAGACGTGATAACTTTACAGGGCATGTAAAAGGAAACCCAGAAGGAAGGACCAATTATTTAATAAAGTTCTGCATGTAGCACTTCCAAAATCTATCATATGAAAGCCAAATTGATAAGCTTTCTTTTAGTACAAGAATCATTCAAATCACTCATGCACTTTTCAAGTTAAGGAATTTTAAACACTAACACCGTTTTAAACTTCTGTCCACGGATCACAAAAAAAAGGTAAGTGTTCTTTCACTTCAGCAAAACGAAACAATACACATAGGGATGTGCGTGAAATGTTTTCGTTTTGCTGAAAGAACACTTACTTTTTTTGTGATCCGTGGACAGAAGTTTAAAACGGTGTTTGTGTTTAAAATTCAAAAAGCCACAGCGAATAATCGTGTTCTTTCGCATGTTACCCGATTTCCAACCGAAAATAAAACTGAATGTCAATGCTTTCAGCAAGCAGTGAACTTTTTAATGCCTTTTCGTGGTTTCTCAAGGGACATGGTGCGTTATAAATTTGGTTTCCCAAACTCTGCAAAATCCATTTGTAACTCTTTTTTGTTTTTTTTGTTACCAAATCAACTGCCAAAGGGCAAGGAATCCTACAGCTGACCCAATGCACCGGGACCTCGAATGCAAAGTGCACATGTAACCCTATTTAATATCTAACCCTGGACCCTCTGTTACAAAACCGCAAAATACGAGGGAAACACCTAAATGAGTTCTCGTAATCTCTGGACTTTGGCCAGGGTGACCGATTTCAACACCGCCAGCTGTCAGTGGAAGAGGCGTTTCCATGGCAACGCCCTAAAAAATCCAGGGTATTTGTGGGTGGTAGGTGGTAGAGCTGACAATAACAAGTTTATTGCAGCGTGACACGCGTGCAGCAAACAAGCTTCTTTTATTTTTTTTAAGGAGGGAGTACGATCTAGTACAAGTACGGGTCGACATTTCGGCAGCGATTTCTTTGCTGCGTATCTAGAGCGTTATTTGATAAATAGGTCCAAAGGTCCAGGAGGTTTTTTTATCAGCAAATATTGTTTGCTCGCAATGACAAGTGCGTGCACCATCACCGCTTTTAAAGGAGTTCTCCAATTAGAAAAGAAATTTCCAACGTGGCATTGCACAATCAGTTTCGGGTCCAAAGATTGCTTTCTGCCGGCCTGCGGAGTTCGAATTTATTTTTTTGAATTTGCTCGAAATTAAAATTTTCTTTCTCATGTTCCGTCCTCTTTCCATCCTCTTTAAAGGTTTCATTTCATGAAGTTAAGAAAAGTATAACACCATTAAAAATGTCTTCCGTTTGTGAAGTTTCTGAGCAGAAAATATTCGAATCGGTCTCAGATTGTTGCTGGTCCCAGTGTCCTCTTTGTGCCTGACTCACCGACTGAATGGCTGTCGCTTGACAGCTGGGCAGTGCTCTCGTATAGGATTACCTGTAACGTCAAAGAATGGGCTAAATTCTGCCCACTGTATAGACTAGATGCAAGAATAGACTTCCAGGGAATAGCCATTCTGAATCAATTATTGAATAGAATTGTGTGCACTCTGGAACCAGCTTGACTATAGCCTTGCCTAGTCTTGTCCTGCCAGCCGTTATATGAACCCGCATATCGGAGACAGCCTTTTATTCATAGTGAAGAGACTAATTATCTTATGGGGGAATATCCTTAAAGGGGAGATATAACATTTGCCAACATGAACAAACGAAATGATCAAATTATCATGGAATATCTTACTGAATTGATAGGGAATGACAGTCCAAAGCATCCTGTAAAATCGTGGCTCCTGGTGTGCTGACATTTTCAAGAAAAATTGTGTTTTTCCAATGCTGGTCGGCCGACCTGCGTTGGAAAAAAAACTGGTAATTAAAAAAACAATTCCCTTTAACAATTAATTTTTTAGGAAATGGGTTTTTCTGTAACAAAAGAAGTAAATCTTGATTTTTTAAACATTTTCATCTGACTTAAACTGCAAGACTATAAATACAAAATAAACTCACTTCTCGTTCCCACCCGCTCCTTTTTTCCGCGCCCGCCTCCTATTTTTTTTTTTCTTTTTCAAATTCATACATTTGCAATATATTTTGCAAATATATAGTCAATGTATTGCCTTTTTGTTTGCTTTCAGCACAACTGTAGCTATGTAGAAAGGGTGATGGCTCCCTTGGACACAACTCTAGTATCAGCAAAAGAGTCGAGAAACTGGAAGAATTCATCCACCATCTTGGAAAACTCGCCATCTTGGGGAAAAAAAGCGCTTGCCACCTCCTTTATTTTCCCCAAAAAAGTCCGCATGAGAAACTACTTTTGTTGTACTTGGTTTAATATGAAAGTGTAAAATAAGACAAGAAGAGTGGATGGGTATGAATGAAGGCAAAGTCATAAAACTCTAAAGAGACTTTGTCGTATTTTAGTTTTGTTTTAATTAAACTGAATTTTTGCTAAGTTGTTTGAACCCCCTTTTCATTTCATTTCAAGATAACATTTCTTTATTCTAAATTCCTTTTAAATTTGAATATATCTTGTTCAATTTTATTTTCTTCATTTCTGTTGGACTATTTTTCACACTGATAGAAACAACAAGCGATCAGCTTGAAAATGATTATCATCTGCAAAAAATAAAGTCCAGGCCCGCCCAATACGATTGCTTAATTTGCGAAAAATCCCGGGGAAAATCACCCACATTTATGGCATAATTTACAGGCTCATCATCATTATTTCAGTTCCCTCCAAAGTTTACTGAGGGCACGAACGGTTATCGCGTTGCCTTAAAAAAGTTTTGGGGGTTTTACGGGATTGAGTCAAGATGAACGTTATACCGATTCAAAGTTCAAGTGCCTCGAGTTGTCGATAATCAACTAGATCGTTCTAAAGGAGGTTGTTTACTGTTTACCAAAGTTTACACGTGGGTGTTCCACCTCAGAAATTGTTTATTCTGCAATCGATATTTAAAGAAAAATATGGTATCTCCCCGAAGCAGAGGCACCTCACTATCTTGTTTTTGTTTGATTAGTACGAGGTGTTTATCCCCTAGAAATGCATAACGCGAAAAGAATGTTGTTGACTCTATTTGGCATCATTCTGGTATGAAAAACATGTTGATGGTAAACTGTGCAGCGACCTAACGGTTTCGTTATCGATCATCGATTATCAGTATCGATTATCGGTATCGGTTATCGGTATCGAAGTATGCAATATCAGCTTTTGAACTTTTTAGAGGTGCCTTTTTCCTGCTGCTGTGATTCACGATGGATACTCACAGTTTTTTTTTCTCGTGTATCTGGTCTACACTATTAGCCAGATTTAGCGCATTTACTAGCATTACGGGGTAAACCTATACGATAGCACTGCCCGACTTCGAAATAACAGTACACAGAAGACAATGACCCTCGGGGACCAGCAAAAACCAAGGCAATATTAAATTGACAACAGGTCATGACATGTAAACGTACATCCATAACTTTAGATACATGTCTGTTAATGTCCAAAAATGGCGTCACCCCCATAGCGAAAATGAAAAGAAAATGAATGATGACATGTTGATCATCATTTTCCTGTGCAGCTTTAATAAAAAAAACTGTGAAAGTTCTAGGTACATTTAAAATAATTTTGAAGTATTGGCATTTAGCACTGGTGTTTATGGGAATTTTAATACACTGTTGCACAAGGCCCTCGATCGTTGAAGATTAAGACCTATTGATTTCCTAGTAGTGTGGTCAGCCATGTAACTTTTGCGAAAGGCCAAGGACGACCCTTGCTCAAACCACCCCCGTTTCGCCTTTATTGCTCCGTCTGGTCATAAGTTTGATACGACTGATAAAGAAAAGTGACCGCAGACTGTGCTCAAACAAGAAAACGGCCAACAAACAAACACTGGACAGCGGTGACAGATGACACGAAAAAATGACTCGTTCATAACTGAACCAGCTGCTCTTGTTTTAAATTCATGAAAATCATCATGGTTAAGGTTACTCACACTTGAAACAACAGCTGGGTGACACAAAATAATAAATTCAATCATACTTTGTTTGGATTTTTTGATGATGATGTATTGTGTCAATTATCTTTTTAGGAATATCGGCCAAGTGACTGTGCTAACAAG